TTTAAGAAGTGCAAGAATTTCAGTGACTAAATTCATAATTTAGACATTTTCCTTTATGAGATAATTTATAACCCCCTCTCCCGTGCTGCAGAATTTATTTTTTCAGTTTTTCTCTTCCGTTGACCCAACTTTCAACTCCGATCTACTCGCCGTCCGACCTCCGATCGATGAGCCGAAACCACCATCGTGTTCGTTGTCAACCAAGGAACAAAACCCCTCAAACCTTTCGTCGTGAATCGTCACCGTTCGTGTTCCTTGTTCTGTTCCGAGTCTGCCGGTGTCATCCTTGGTCTCCGTCGACGGCGGCGCGTATGAAAGTGAAGCGGTCAAAGTTTCCTGATTCGTTGAAATCGAGCTCTCCGCCGTTCAAAATTGTGAACCGAGCTTTGTAAGTATCTCAGAATCGCTCAAAATAATTTTTAAGAATTTTTCCATGATTTTTAGGCAGCCGAAAGGGGCCCCACGCGCCGCCACTGCACGTGGGAATGGTCCAAATGACCGGTTTGACCGGTTTTGGAGCAGAGTTGACCAGTTTGACCGGTCACAACCCGACCCTACCTGTTGCCCGTTGACCGGCGTTGACCACTGTTGACCAAAACTTTAACTGGCTTTGACCGGGCATTAAACGACCTTTGACTTTGACCGAGTATACCTATCCTGACATTTTTCGACGTTCCAAATCTGATTCTGCTGTCCGTTTTTCGAAATTCGAACCCGAAGACCTCGAAATTGCCGGTCAAACCCTTTGACTTTGATTTTGACCGAAAATTCCAAATTTCTGAAAAGTCATATTTTATGCTTTCGACGTCCTGAATCCGAATCTGAAGTTCTTTTCGCCAAATTCAAACCCGATAAGCTGGTTTTCACTGATTTATCACCCGATTCAATCCGTTTATCGTAATTAAGCTCCGTTTTTTTATATAATTTATGTTGATATGTATCTGAGGAATTATTGGAAGTTGAATTGAAGATCAAAGGCGTTCGAATGGAATTTTTATGGTCGATCAATATTGCACAAAAATCGAGGTAATACTTTACTACCTCTTTATGTTTTATGAAACATGTGAATATTGGTAAATGCATGATTAAGATAATGTTGGTCTCATTTGTGTAGTCAATTAGTTTCTACACTAGATCTGAATATGGTAAAAGGGTTCAGTAATTGATTATGGTTTAGATGATTTTTATAAGAAATTGAGGGATTGTTAGAATTAAATTACAAGTTCTATGCTTAGTGATAAAGAAATCAACATGGATTTGTAACTTATAGTTTATTTCATCAAAGGTTAAATGTTAAAGGTACTTGGATGGGAAATTATGATAATACTCCGATAGGGTAAAATTACGAAAATACCCTTAAGTTGTAAGATATCAAGAATTGTCCCTGGAAATTGATTAATAACTCTGGAAGGATATATTGATATGATAAAACTATAGATGTGCTTAAGAAATGCTAGATTTTGCTTACGAAATACGGATAACCGGTTTTTAACCCCTAGAGGGTTTGTGCAAGATATTAGAATTCTATTAAGGAATCATTTCAAGATAAGAGAATGTTCGAGAAAGCAATTGATCATAGGATCTCTAAATTATAATTATTTTCGTTAAGAGCTAATATTGAAATTATCTGGTTAAGAAATTACGAAAATGCCCTTGAGAGATAAAATAGTCTGAATTTACCCTGAATGAGAGAGTACTTTGAGGATTTGTACTTAACTCGATTAAGTACAAATTTAATTGTTAAGATCCTGTCTTTGTATTGAAAAATTTATGATATTCCGTTTATAGAATCTGAGAAGACACTTGACCTGAAAATATTCGAATAATGAGTAAATACTTGAAGAGTAATTTATCGGAGGTATTCTGCTGTCAGAATTGTTCGAAAGGACTGAAGTAAATGATAAGATTGAATTAAATAATAAGACCGGATGGAAGGAAATGATTGAAATATTCTAGAATTATAAAATGACCAAAATACCCCTTGAATGGAAATGACTCAAGAATGTCACCAAGCTCAGGAATGAATGGATATACTCAAGCTTTGAAATGAATAGAAAAAATGTTGAGCACCAAAATAACCAAAATGCCCTTATGACCTAGAATAAGCAAATATCTTGGATTAATTAAGAAATCCAAATAAACATGGATGTTGTGCTACCAGTAAAAGTTGTGGAACACAACTTAAGTGATCAACCAACGTTAGTGCTATATCATTACCTGAATGATATAAGTACCACTTGAATGTTTGTTCATCTTCTCAAATTTGGATCGATGATAATTCTGGAAGTACTTGGCTCAACTCAACTCTAGAGCGCATACAGTACTAATAAGTGGGTATTCGTGAGTCAAATCAACCACGAATACCAGAATGACTTTATTATATGAATAAATTGAACTGAAATGAAGTACAACGTGTATTTGAAATTCAGAAACGTCTGAATTATTTTAGAAAGCTTTAAAGTTATCGGGATAGACTTGCTTACTAAACGAACTAAGTAACATCAATGACTGAGGATTAAATAGGTGATTGGATGAGTTTGGAAACACTGTTGAACTTACATGATGAATTGTCCTTATGAGTTATGAGCCATGGATCAAGTACGTCCGTATTTCCTGATATTGTTGAAACGTGAAAATGAAATAAAGACCGTTGGAAGATTTATTCAGTGATGATTATGGGGATGATCTATGGATCTGCATTATGGTATTAAAGAGTGAATACACTGGAAGGATAATGAATTGACTTGTTGACATGCATCAGTTTGGGAGTTGTGTAACTTGAGTTGTTTGATAATCTGATCGATAGTCGTAGATTGTAAATGACTTGAATCTTCGATTCTATATTTTCATCTAAAATCACTTCGGTCATGTTGGAAAACGCAAGTAACGCAGAAGAAAAAGATTCTGAATACCTCATTTGGTTCAATTGGGCTTAAATTTTATGAATTCAAAGTATATTTCGGAATACCCCTGATTGTTTGGGTAATGGAATCACTAGCAGTAAATCTGAATTTAGAATTATTATGTATAAAGGTTCCTGAACGTTTTCCTGATACATATAGAAACTTAGTGGAATTCTAAAAGTATCAATCTGAAATGTCTGATTGGATCGGTTAGAAATTGATTCTCTTCAATAAGATCTATTTATTGGGATCCGATCAAATTGCACAGGTTCATGTTATCCATATTGATAACTACAAAATGCATTTGAAAAATAATTGGATTCTCTAGTATGTTCCTTATATTTTGAAAAATTGTTTTATTGTTTTAACATGTGGTACACTGAAATCTATGGTTACTATTTTATGGATGCACCGACTTAACGGTGATTGCTTATGGATTTGTATCATTGTATAAACTGTATCTTGGAGATACAGATTTGTAAAGTACAGCTCTGATCAAGTTGGAAAATTTTTATGGACCTAATGTGACTCTTAGGTAGGCTCTACGGCCGTGAGATCATTCTTGGGTAGGCCTTGCGGCCCTAAGATGTGTTCTTAGGTAGGCCTCACGGCCCCGAAATCTATCTTGGGTAGGTTCTCATGCCCTAAGATGTTCCCTTAGGTTAACTCTTTGTAATATGGTTTTAAAATACGAGTTTAAAAAGCTCCACTACAATATGGTTTATGGGATTTTACTGAACTATCATTTGATTAGTATACCTATTATGGTTTTATCGTACTGATGGAACACACTAGGCATCCTATTCGACCTCATGAAAATGTGATAGTATGAAAGGTTTCTTATGAACTGAGATTCATGGCTTCTACTCGATGAACTTCTAAGGGAACCCCAAATTATTCCGCCCACTGGTATACGTATGATTCAATAAGGAAATTATGGTTTTTCAATTATCTGCATGTCATGTAGCATCATCTGGTAGTTCTGTATTACTGAGCTTTTCGAAGCTCACTCTATTACTCATCATTGCAGGTTTAAAGAATTGTACCAGTATCACTATCAACATCAGTAAGGGAGTTTTTCGGTGTTGCTTACAGAGTATAGTACATGTGTTTAAGGGGCATGTAATTGTATTTTGATTTATATACGAGTCTGGAAATCTGTTTTATTTCTGCATATTGATAAATCATTTTATAAGTTACATATTTTAATAAAAGTTTTAAATTTTCCGCCATTTTTACAATGGGTCTCTCCGGTGGACCTAATGTGACACCCCGGATCGGATCGGGCTATCCTCATCGGTCTGGAAGGTTACAACCTCATTCTTTCCATCAACAATTACATACACACGCATATATATATATATATGTGTGTGTAAACTTATCTATTTCTACAATTTTGTTTTAGTCGTTCAATCATATTTTCTTTTAAAATTATATCTAATATTACGTTTTAGTTCTATTTTGATTACCAGTCGTTAAAAATGAACGATGATGTTGAATTATCGCCATAAGAGAATGTCACGTCATCGTTGAAAAAAATTCATATCAACAACACTATTTATTTTTTAGCGGTAGGTGACCAAAATGGAATCAAATCGTAATATTGATATAATTTAAAAAAAATAATTTGGTGACCAAGACAAAACCATATGAATAGATGAGTGACTAAATATGTAACTTATCATATATATATATATATATATATATATATATATATATATATATATATATATATATATATATATGTGGAATGCGTCGTGAGAAATATTAGAGACGACAAATATAAAATTTCATTCGTCAGAAAATCGTAAGCAGAAAAATAACAATACAAAATTTCAAATCCTCATGAGAAACATAATGCGGAATGCATCGGATATATAATTCTGAATCACGACGAGGACGATCAAAAAGCTCAACATGTGTCCTATTTTCATCCTCGTCTAGTTCCCCATTGATTTTCAACATCCTAATCTTCTTCTTCTTTTTCCTCTTCTTCTTCGTACTCACCTCTTCTTCCATGGTCTCCGCGGGATCATCATCTTCATCAAGATCAATCCTGCCAGCAGACTCAACAGGCTGTTCAAGCTCATTTCTTCCTACAGAGAATAAGGGGCTCTTCAATCATCCTCAACTGAAATTACATTGCCATCCAAACTTATAAGAGAAGCATGAGCAATCTTGGGCCAATCCACTCCAACTTCTTGTTTGCATCTTTCACTTAAAACAGGACAACCTTCAATATGCAATCGTTTGAGGAGCTGCATGGTTTCTGGCAGACTTGATAATCGTCGGCAACGTGCGATCTCAACTTTTTCAAATGATGTGAGATCGTGCCACTCCGGTGAAGCTGTGAGATTCTCACAGTCTTTAATTATCAGATTCTTAAAAGTGTTGGCAGATCGCCGTAGAAGCCAATGGGGTAGAGCCTCCAGCTTTGGTAAATATGTAGTTTCCAATGATTGAAGGCTGAAACCTTGATGATCATCATCTTCTTTCTCTTTGAATCCCTGCAGCTCACTCAAAACAAGCTTCTCACAAATCTCAATGACTAGAGTTTGTAATGCAGTAAGATTATTCAAACCATGTGGAAGTGATACCAAGTTCTTGCAACTGGCAACACCCAATGTATGAAGAGATGTGAGGTTTTGAATCCCTTCAAACAAATATTCCAGATTATCACAGCCCCATATGATCAAGAATTGAAGAGATTTCAAGTGTTCTAATCCATGACCATTAAGGTCTCGTTGTTTTGTAGTTAATGATAAGAATATGAGACGGGTCATCTTCCTCATATCCTTAGGTAGCTCTTCAATTTGATCACAACCAGCAAAACCAAGACTGAGCAGATTCTGCAACTCGCAAATGGAGTTGGGGAGTTTCTTGATGTGGTGACAGTCACAAAGGTTGAGATACCTTAAATGCTTCAAATTACCAATCCAGTTGGGCAACACCTCGAATGCAGACCCAAAAAGATCAAGCACCCTCAAACGTTGGAACCTACTGAGACAATTTTCATCCAAGGATTTGCTGGTTGCAGTCTTTCCCATATTTGTAAACCTTAGTGTACGCACATGTCCTAATTTACCAAGGAAATCGGAAGCACTTTCGTTGGAGGAATCGGAGTTTATGAGGCACACATGCCGGATACTTGGGGCAATCTTTTGCTTGAAAGTGTTTTGTCGTAACTGGTTTTAGTCCGGGCACGAATTATTACTTGACGGGAAAATTGATGTGAATAAATGGTTTTGAAAATAATTTGGGAGTCGCCATCGGCCTTTTGGGTCAGGTAGGTCGAATACCTAAAAATTATCTTTTAACAGAGTTTTTAAGAAAACATCAGTTAAAAGATGAATTGATCTGCGTTTATAACCAAAAATTCTTTCTTTTTAATAATAAAAAGGGATTCGTGGTCGGTTACGTTTAGGGAAGGATTAGCACCCCTACAACGCCCAAAATTGGTACTTTTTAATTATAAATTGTCTCTATTATTAGAAATTTAAAAATTCAAAATATATTTAATTTATAATCCTATTATTTCAAAATTATAATTATGAGAAAAAAGAAAAAAAATAATTTATATATTTATAAATAAAATATTTATTTATTTAGAAATATCAGAAAAGGACTTCTAGGTGCCTTAAGACAGCTCTTTTCTTCGATATTAATAAATATTAATATAATAATTTAAATAAAATTATAATTTTTTTATAATATTTAATTTTAAAATACCAGAATAGGACATCCAGTTGTATTAAGACTGCCCTTTTCTTCGATATTGAAAAATAAATAAATAAATATTAAAATATGATAAAAATAATTTATGTAAAAAAACACATAAATTATTATTTATTATATATATATATTTATATGACTATATAATATTAATAAAAATAATATTTATTTATATAAACAAGTAAAATTAAAACGATAAAAATACAATTAGAACTATATATTTAAAAGCAGTAAAATAAATGAAAATTTTTAAAATTAGTGACTAAATTATAATTAAATTAAAATTAAAAACCTAATTCAATATTAATTAAAATTTTAGGGATTAAACATGTTATTTTCCTTATTTATTAATTTAGTGACTAAAATAAAATTATATAAAATTCGGATATTAGATTAAAATAAATTAAAACATACTATTCAGATTAAAATATTAATTATTAAAATTAACGGACTAAATCTGTTATTTACCCTAAATATATTATTTTAATACAAAGGACTAAAATAAATAAAATTAAAATTAAAGAACCGAATTAAAAGGATTATAAATTGATTTAGTGACTAAAATGGAATGTTTACAAGTTAGGATGACTGCGGACGGGATTTAACCTTTAAAAATTAAACAAATAGCCCTCCCCGAAACGACGTCGTTTGGGAAGGGCTATTTAAGCCCGAAACCGGCTGGCCCTTCGGGCCATCTCTCATTTATTTTTTTTATTTCTCTCTCTAACTGAGAGAGAATAAAAAGCTCTCCCTTCTCTCTAGCTTCCCTCATCGGAGGGAAGCCGGTCACCGGGCGGCAGTCGTCTGCCGTCGTGATTCTCACCGCCGGCCACCGCATCCGGTGGTCGGAAAAATCTATTTTTACACCACAATATAGATCGGACCGTCCTAATGACGGTTCCAGTGATCTTTTCTTCTAATTAGCTCCCGATTGGAGCAAATCTAAGAAAGTACCTTCGATTTTCGAAGGTTTTGGTGAGGTTCGGCGGTCGTGGCTTCCTCGGTAAGCTTCTCTTTTTTTTTGTTGTTGTTGTGTTGTTGCTTTCTGTTTTTTTTGTTCTCTGTTTTTGCTGGGGTTTTTTTTTTGCTTGCAGGGGAACTGAGGCTTTATAGCCTCAGTGTGGCTCTCGTCGGACCGGTCTGAAGGATGAAACGTTCGGTGAGTCACCAAAGCTATGCTGGTGACTCACCATAGAGGCGACGTGGACAGTCGGGGTTGTGGCAGCAGAGCTTCTGGAGGCTTCTTCGGGGCGGCTTCGTGGCATTGGTGGAGTGTAGGCAACGGACGTGTGGCCTTCTGGAACCAACGGCGGTGGCTGAGGACTTCTGGAGGCGGCGGCAGCAGTAGTGCTAGGGTTTAGAAACCCTAGCTAAAACCCTAAATTGGTTTAGGGTTTCCTTTTGGGTCTGGGCCGATTCTGGTTGGGCTTGGGATTTGGGCTTGTAAATTTTTTAATAATAATAATAATAATATATATAATAATAATAATAATAATAATATAAATAATATTTAAATGAAAAAAATGAGTATCTTCAGCTGCCCCTCTTTGTTTATTCTTGTGTTAATAAGAATATAGCAAAGACGAAAAGATAATAAGTTTTTTTTTCATTTGACTTTACTTGATTATGATGGAGATGTTGATCTAATTCTTCTTTGGGATTAGTTCTTCTCATTATGAACTTTTCCACTGGGGATGATGTTGACCTATTTCCTTCTGTGATAGAGTCATTCAAAAGATTGAATAAGCTCTTCTCATTATGAACTTCTTCTTTCTCCTTCAGATGAGTTCTTCATTATGAACTTTCTCTGGAAAGGTTGATGCTAATCTATCTGTTTCTGTGATAGAATTATGCAAAAGGTTGAATAAGATATTCTCATTGTGAACTTTTTCTTCAGATGAGTTCTTCTCATTATGAACTTCTCTGGAAAAGCTGCTCCATCAAGTGATGGATTTGAGCAAAAGGTTGAACAAATTCTTCTCATTATGAATTTCTTCTTCTTCTTCAGATTACGAGTTCTTCTCATTATGAACTCTACCTGGCAATGTTAATCCATCAAATGATGAATTTAAACAAAAGGTTGAACAAATTCTTCTTATTATGAACTTCTTCTTCCTTCTTCAGATGAGTTCTTCTCATTATGAACTTTCTCTGGAAAAGCTGATCCATCAAATGATGGATTTGAGCAAAAGGTTGAACAAATTCTTCTCATTATGAATTTCTTCTTCCTTCTTCAGATGAATTCTTCTCATTACGAACTTCCTCTGGAAAGTTTGTTCCATCGAGTGATGGTTTTGAACAAAAAGTTGAACAAATTCTTCTCATTATGAATTTATTCTTCTTCAGATGACGAATTCTTCTCATTACGAACTTCCTCTTCCTTCTTCAGATGAGTTCTTCTCATTATGAACTCGACCTAGCAATGCTGATCCATTGAATGATGGATTTAAATCTTTGCTAAAATCTTTGAAATTCCTGTTAAAAATTCAACATGGATGAAAATGAATGAAAATGCACCTATTTTTGCAAACACCTAAATATGATGCATGAATGTTAAGTTATTTGATTTCAGATTGGTGAACTGAGTATTTCTTCAGTTGTAGAAACCCAATAGATCTTTCTTCTTCAAATCAGAGAATCTATCATCTTTGACAAATGTAGATGTAGATATAATGTCACAAAACCTCTTGAGAATAAAACTCAATAGTATAAGCTCTTGAAAAGCTTGCATTCATGCAACATGTTAATTCTGATAACAACTCATCTGATTATGAAGTGATCTTTCAAGATGATTTCACAGATATCGATAGTTCTTTTAATACCGAGAAATCTTGAATTCTAATTCTGATGAGGAGAATAAACTGTTATACTTGACAAAAATGGGATTCTCAGAGGTTGAAGCTTCAATAGCCATGGAGAGATGTGGTCCAGATTCATCAATTGCAGAATTGACAGATTTTATATGTGCTGCTCAAATGGCTAAGGCTGTTGACACATTTCTTCCGGTAAAAAATGGGAAGCCATTATGCAATGATCCCAATTACAAGAAAAAGCAAAACTTGGGCTATGATTTTTAGGAAAGGAATAAACAGAAGAAGCTTGAAAAGAAGCTTCTTAATGAAGACGATCATGCAATTCATCTTTTAATTCCAATGATTGGTTCTGGGTTTTATATTAAACCAGATCAGATAACTCAAAGAACACTTCCAGAAGATGCTATGAGCACATTCATCTTCCAAATTCAATGATTGGTTTTTCGGGGTTCATACCAAACCAGATCAAATAACTCAAAGAACACTTCCAGAAGATGCTATGAGCACATTCATCTTCCAAATTCAATGATTGGTTTTTGTGGTTCATACCAAACCAGATCAGATAACTCAAAGAACACTTCCAGAAGATGCTATGAGCACATTCATCTTCTAAATTCAATGATTGGTTTTTGTGGTTCATACCAAACCAGATCAGATAAGTCAAAGAACACTTCCAGAAGATGCTATGAGCACATTCATCTTCCAAATTCAATGATTGGTTTTTCGGTTCATATCAAACCATATAAGATAACTCAAAGAACATTTCCAGAAGATGATATGAGCACATTCATCTTCCAAATTCAATGATTGGTTTTTGTGGTTCATACCAAACCAGATCAGATAAATCAAAGAACACTTCCAGAAGATGCTATGAGCACATTCATCTTCCAAATTCAATGATTGGTTTTTGTGGTTCATATCAAACCAGATCAGATAACTCAAAGAACACTTCCAGAAGATGCTATGAGCACTTGTTCTACTTGAATCTGATGAAGTGGAAATACTTCTAGGTTTCCCTAAAAACCATATACAAGGATCTGTATAGAAACATGTTCCATGGTGGTATCAATGTCCTGTCTCTTTTCTCTGGGATCAATGATGCAGAGGTTGCCTTTTACTGTCTTGGCATACTTTTGAAAATAGATGTGCAAGAACTGAATAATGATCGGTTGGAACAATTGATGAGTAGTTTTAACGGTCTTGATCTTGTGGTCGGTGGCATCCAGCGTAACAACCTTATTGGAAGAAAAAACATCATTCATGGGCTTGAAGATTTTTGTTGGTGCATTTACTTGCAATGATTGCTACAACAAACTGTCTCTTCTGCTGCTCCAATATATCCCATTCTTTTTGAATCATGGAACAGTTTAGTTGACAGTAAAACTTGTCATCTTCAACTTTTGGAATACTGTAACTAATGTTACCCTATATAACCAGAGTGCAGATAATGACTTGTTCATGGCTTTATGATGATGATTTGCTTACTTTGTATTCCATGCCTTTAAAAGTATTAACATAAAGTGATATTCAGAAATCTTTAACTTATTTCAAAATTATGTTAATTCATAGAAGAATAAATTGAATTTTCAAAAATAAATTGAATCTCAAATAGATAGAATTGTATTCAA